TCACAATATATACATTAATGTAGTCATTAACTAATTTGATGTATAACTTTAGTCAATATAATATGACTAATCATTTACTATATCAACATTGCTCAACCCAAGTTATATTTTAACTTACAGTTTAATGTCCTTCTTTCAGATCCAAATGGTCCCTGTGATGAGCTGATAGCTATTTTCCTGGCTACACAATAGAAAAATACAGTGATGGACTTCTCTTCCCTCCCTCTTATGTGCCTGTTATTTTGTCAGGATTAAGTGGTCAAATGACATTCTTGGAAAGGGTAAAAAATATGCTGTGCATGCTTTATTTTGACTTTTGGTTCCAGTCATTTACTATGAATAAATGGAATCTGTTTTACACTAAAATTTTGGGTAAGTTAACTCTTTTATCTCTAGATAGGGGGACAAGTTTTATTACCTTTATCCTATTTTATATGCACAAATGGTGGGCAGTCAGGTATCACTGGTAAGAAAGAATCACTTAGTATACAGGATATTCAAGAAGGTCATATGATTACCAATCAAAGCTTGCAGGATTACTGTGGGACATACATACTCATTTTACTCATTTAAGAAGAAAATATGCTTAACAACTGTAGAATAGGGAATTATATAAGTTTATAGTCTAATGATGATCTTATGTCTTATGTAGATAATGTTTTCTTTATGTAAAAAATTATATATATATATATATATATATATATATATATATATATATATATGTCCTGAAGGCTTTAATTCCTATTATGGGACAGTCAGTTTAATCACAGACTCAAAAAATTTAACTTGAGGTTACTGAGGACTCTGTATTCCTTCACAAGTTCTTTTCTGTGTTACCATCTCAATATATCAAATCTTCTAAACCATGGCTACACATGGGTTTGATTGTCACTTGTTTAAGGTCAAGTTTCTCAATTCAAAAAAAAATAAGCCCCATTAATGGTGAATATAAATTTCTATTCTGTGTACTTTTACTAGGTGTCATGACTACTTTTATATAATAAATACTGTTAAGTTCTTGACATAAAAATACAAGTGTATTAAGTCCCTACTATAAAGCAGAGGTAGAAGTGGGGATCATTAATTCAGTCAGTCATTAAATCCAGAAATCACTTGGAAAACCAAAGCAAAAAGAGAGGCTGCTAAGGTTTCAGAAATAGAGTAAGAACTGCTAGAGCAAGTTGTTTCTATGACTTTGATAGGATTATTCTCTCAAGAACTTGAACATTTGTTTATATATACTTACCTAATACAATCAAATCTTTAAGGAGGAAGGAAGTGCAGGCTTAATTATATGGAGGTTTAGCTTAACAAGTCTTAATGATGGCTCTTTACTGAGGTAACTATGGACAGAAAATTTCTCCTCAGTTTGCCTACAACACACATATTAAAATATTATGTAAGCCACTGATAAAGTATGCACTTGAATAAATATTGTGTTTATAATGCATACTTTACACACAACTGAGCACAAATTATTCAAATACTTTTCAGGAAATCTTAGTATATTCTGAAGGCAACCTTGCCACCATCTTCTCTCTTCCCTTCCCCTCCATGACTACCTCATTTTCTCCATTTAGGAAGACCTTCTACATTAGCTGAAATGATGAAGAAAACAGAAATGTGGCTTATTAGGTCCTACTAGGATTGAGAGTTTCCCTGTCCAGTCTGACCTAATGTTGATTTTATTTTATTTTATTTTTTATTTTTAGAGTAGTATATTCAATAATTTCAAAAAACAGATAAGTAGTGACATATCAAATACAGGCATTATAAAGAATTTTTTTATGTTTGTTTAGAATAAAATGCTGTTACAAAAAACCAGAGTTGGAGTTCAATAAAACAGTTTAATAAAACAAGGCACAATGTTTAAGACAAAATTCATAAAGAAGATATATAAAGTTAATATATTTTTTTCATGTCCTTTGGGTGAGGAAGCATAAGAATTTAAATAGTTTAAACATTCTTTTTAGAATATTAGCCAATTAAAGGTTACATAAATTTGATACAATAGGACTCTGTCTTTTCCATAAAACAAACTGCACTACTGATCTATATTTGAGTTACATTTTAATTGTATATATACTTATACAGGTATTTCTAATTCACAAGACTTTAGGTACTGTAGTCAGGGCATACATAATAATTTGACAAAAGTCACACCTTTTCAGCATTTTTTTTAGCATATGAAGCCCCCAACTTTATGAAAAGCTAAAGCTGTTATATAGACAGTCTTTCCCACTATGTTCTGTTTCTAACAAACATCAAGTGGGCTCAGAATGCAACAAACCTCAACACAAGTCTGCATGTGGCTGTTCAAAAGTGACTACTGGAGTCAATACTGTTTCCCAGGAACACAGTGCTGACCATGTGAACTGAGATCAGGGACTTTCAGCCATCTTCATATACAAAACAAACCAACTTAGATATGGTTCTAATAACAGCAATGCCAACCTCATCCTTGTTTCTTTCCTCAACTGGAGTTCTAAATAACACAATTTTATTCAGTTTTTTCATGGCCAAAAGAATAAAGTATGTTCTGATGAATTCAAAGTTTTCTGCATGTGAATAACCTTCTTCACTAAGCTACTAAATCTAATGCACACATAATACACCACATGAGACTGAATATTGTATCAGTTATTGAAGCTGACTACTGCTGAGTAAAAGCCTAGCAGCACCCATCAAGATCACCTACTAAGTGTTTAACTTTGTGAGTTAGTGGAATACTTCTTACTTCAATCCTCAGTAAATAGAGATCAAGAAAAATATAAAAGCCAAGGTGGCACTTACACATATTAAACTATCCCCCTTTCAACCTATAGGAAAATTGATGATAAAACATGCCAGACCTCAGTGACAATATTTTCCTACAATGCTATAGATATGACAGCAGTAGGACTTCTGCTGTCCTTTTAGTAGCATGAATGTTTAAATAAAATACTATATAAAAGATATACCTTTCTACTGGGAATAGGGTAGGGTGATGGTGGTTGGCCTTTGGTTCCAGATGGCTCTGATCTCCTGGCACAATATGGTTAAAATACCCCTCCTAGAAGCCCTACACACACAGTGGGCCCTGTTGTATGCAAAGAAATCTCTCAGGATCAGTCTTTCCCCTTCAAATCAATGTAGAAGATCACATAGCCATCATTGACAATTTACCATTTAATATACTTTTTCCCCCATATTTTGGGTTAAATGGAAAACTTTAAAGGCGCTTTCAGACCACAAAGCATAGTGCTACATACACTACCAAAAAGGTCACCCTATGATGAAAATATAAAATTGCATTCTACTGAATGAATGTTATATAACATTAAATGCTTAATACACATACAGTGAGGGCTAACACAACACTTCTTCTCTAAGCAAGGGAAAACTATGTGCTACATACAGGTCACACTGCCTAAAGTCTACAAAGTACCCTTCACCACGGGGGTTACATGCCTAGTCTAACTTAAAAAAAATCAGTATTTTGGATTAAATGGAGACCAATACTTATAATAAAATCTCTACTTTTAGAAGAAAAGCAAGACATTTTGGTAAAAATTCAGCACTTTAAAACTAAGTGCAGCTAAATCATCTTACATATATACTTTTAGTGTTAAAGTCTTACCTACAAGCATGCACATGGAAACACAATTTGTTTATGTAAATAGCTAAACATTTGATTTGCAGTTTTTTAAAAAGACAATGAAAATGTAAACATTTATTAAGGTTACCTGCTGTATTATAAAACAGGCCAATAGGAACTCTGGGAAGACCAAGATTGAAAGAACGCCTACAGCTTGCTGGATGTGTTTATGGGAAGCAATGGGACAGCCTCCGGCAGCAGGGGCCGATTCAATAACATTAGCAGTAATAAACTTAGTGATAAGCTTTTTGGATGGCAGTAGGAGGCCATTTGGTGGATTAATTTTTAAACAATTTCTTGTTACTCTACAGGGCTTTACTGGGTCAGGAATTTCTCTGGCCACCCATCCTTGGCTGCTCTTAGAGATTTGTTTTCCTTAACATCCCAGCAAACAACCCCTTCTTGAATCTTCATTTAACCCAGTATTTCCAGTGTCTGTTACAAGTATGCTGCAGTACTGGGATGCACTATTGAGGATTGCCTCTTCTTTTTATTTATATCACCCCCAAAGTTCTCATATTTGAAGTCCATCTATAATGTTTATTTTTAATATTACAACAAAAATTTAGACACCAAGATTTTTAGACTAACTGGCATCTTTGCCACATTTCTAAGTAAAATATGGAGCTGGACCCATGGTTTATTTACACTTATGATTCCAGTAGCTGGGAAGCTGAGACAAGAGCATTACAAGCAAACTAGACTGTGTCGTGCCCAACCTCGACCAGCAAGGAAGACACAACTCAGGAGAGATCTTCTTCTAGCAGTTTAATCAGGATCCTTGAAAAACCTTCTCCTCCCAGCTCCAGCAAATCCTTAAATATGTGCTCACTGCCCAATCAGCTCATGCTACCTGGTGATCCCCGATAGGCCACAGAAGGAGGAAGCACGCCAGATCCATCAAGCACTTCCAAATAAGGCTTGTTTACAGCTAAACTCAGACTACCTGGCATCCAGCCAGGCACCATCTTGGGGCTGTGGCTTCCCACAGTTCCCCCTTTTTTGTTTTAAACACAACAGGCAAGGGTAGAGGTCTGATCTCTGATAAACAAGGGACATTGTAATGGCCCCCGCGCCAAGTTATCAGCCAAGCTGGTGCCACACCAGTCCGGTATCTTTCCTCAGAACTGGGATTACGATACCAACCCATATGCAATCAGACTTGCCCTCCATAAAGCTGCTCTCTGCTGTGTAACCCTCATCTTGCTGATATACCATAAAGCAATGAGACTGACTAGGATAAGCATCCCTCCCAGGGCAAAACTAACATTTCCCTCTACAGGACTAATATCCTTATCTGAAGGCAAAAAAGGTAAATTCAAACTTAAATTTCTACTAAAAAATCTGGGAAAATCTTGGGCAGAATGCCTAATTAGCATGGGTTTAGGAAACACCGACAGGATCCCCCATCGTGGATCCGTTTCCATCTTGTTGACCAGTACCACCATCATGATCGTCAGCATCAGGTGCATCACTCTGCTCGTGGACCTCACCATCTTCAGAGGCAGGAACTCTCCTGGTCAGTGTTTCAGGAATCCACAAAGGTTCTGACTGATCCTGTGGGTAAACAGAAACAGACCCTTTCGCCCATGATAACACAGGGTAAGGACCCTTACATAGTCCAGAAATGACATCTTTCCATTTTACAAATCCCTTATCAATGGAGAGGACACTGTGATGGCGATCAGCAGCTGAGCGTCCATCCACATCCAATTGAAAAAAAATTAAGAGTCAGTAGAGCTAGAGATATTCTCTCTTTGGGGGTGCGGCCTTGGCCTATTCCCCCTTTTTGTTTTATTAAGCATTCCTTCAAAGTTCGGTGAGCTCCTTCAACAATGCCTTGACCTTGTGGGTTGTAGGGAAGACCATGTCTCAAATCTATCTGGATTTGCTTACATAAAGCAGAGAAAGATGCAGCAGTATATGCTAGTCCATTATTAGTCTTTAATTGCTGCGGCATACATCACGCAGCCCAAGCTTCTAAGCAGTGGGTAATTACATTTTTTGCCTTTTCTCCATTTAAAGGAGGAGCATGTATCATTCCTGATGGATCTATAGCAACGGCGCCCCTTGCCTTAATACTCCTGTGGGTTGACACGCAGTTGCCAGGATACAAAGCCAAATGGGTTGATCTGGGATGCACCGCATTAAAGAAGCTGTGCTCAGCCCTTGTTCCACCTTTTGCAATGCCATTCTGGCCTCATCAGTTAACAACCGAGGAGAATTTAAATCAGGGTTGCCAATTAATATATCATATAAGGGTCTCATTCTTGATTGGAAAGCTTCAAAAATTGCCGAATCCAGTTTATATCTCCTAACAATTTTTGAAAATCGTTTAAGGTTTGCAAGATATCTAATCTTAAAGTAATTTTCTGAGGCACTACACAGTCCTTATATATCTTGGCTCCCAAGTAATCAATAATATTTCCCTGTTATATCTTTTCTGGGGCTATATATAGTCCCTTGTTCTCTATGATCTTTACCAACACTCCATATACCTTGTGTAGTAATTTCAAGCCGTTACTGGCCATTAAAATGTCATCCATATAATGTACACATCATACCTCAGGATATCTTTCTCTAATTGGAACAATGCCACGACTCACAAAAAGCTGACACATAGTGGGGCTATTAACCATGCCCTGGGGCAGCACTACCCATTCATAGCGCAGATCAGGTCCTTAACTTGGTCCCACCTTACCTGGGACTTACCAGTCGACTGCCCTGACTGCAGGAAGTTCTGAGCTGCTCACCCACAGAGAGAGGATCCCTGTACAGGCCACCACTTGTGGCATGTACCTTGGCCAGCAAGGAAACATGACCATGACTCTTCTTTAAGCAGTTTATTCAGGAACCTTGTACATCAGCTTCTGCTCCTCCCAGCCCCAGCAAGCCCTTAAATATGCACTCACTGCCCAATCAGCTCATGCTACCTGGAGATCCCGGATAGGCCACAGAAGGAGGAAGCACACCAGATCCATCAAGCACTTCCAAATAAGGCTTGTTTACAGCTAAGCTCAGACTACCTGGCATCCAGCCAGGTGCCATCTTGAGGCTGTGGCTTCCCACAAGACTGGGCTGCATAGCTAGTTCAAGTTTAGCCTGGGATACATAGCCAAGCCCTGTCTCAGAAAATAAAATAGCTGCATTTTGAAAATCAGCCCTTGTTGATTTTAAATGTTCATTAGCTAGGTTAACATGGGATTCATACCTATAGAGGCAGACTACAGCATACAATACACCCTGCTGACTTCAGAAGATAATCTTAATTCTAGATGGTCAACTCCTATTTCACTAAGTTAATGTCAATATTAGCTTTCTTAAAAGAAAAAGTATGAAAAATAAAAAAAATAAGCAATCATTGGTAGCTCTAGTAAAGAATACAGCCAAAGATGGATTAAAAAAAAAAAAAAGAAAAGAAAAGAAAAAAGAAAAAAAAAAACAACCAAAACAGGTAAAACAGCTGCCAATGAAGATTTCACTAATAGCTATCTATGCTAGGTGTGGACTGTACCCATTCAGCATGCGCAAGGCCCTGGACCTACCCCTATAATCCCCATCTCTGCAAAAAGACAGCTGCACACTGATTTGGCACACTGTTCACAGAGTTTAATTATATACATAAAAACCCGCAATAAACACTTTGCTGAAAGAACACCATAGGATACATCTAAATACCACAGGCTGTAATATTTATATTTACAAAAGATGAAACAGTATACCTTCTTTCTAGGAGGCTGGAAAGTGTATGTATGCTTATATGCTCTATTTACAAGGCTATTTTACAAGCAATTCCTAAAAAAGCCACTCAAGCTATTACTTAGGTCAAGAACGACTATCAATCAAGAAAGTAGAAATATTTAAACCAGAATACTACAGTCCCATAAATCTGAACACTTTCCATGAGAACATTCTATATTAACTAAAGTCATCTAATTACAAAGCATTTACAGTTTGATACTTGGGTCCTGCCCAAGTCTTTGGTGCCTTTCATAATCATGCATTAGGCAGCTTACAGCTGCTCACCTGGTGAAATGCAAAGACTTTATAACATCATACAATTACATATTCAGTAGAAAACAACACTTCTATAAACAAAGAAAGAAAATCTCTAAATAAAAAAAGTTAATCTTACTAGACTGACTCACTACAGCATTGTTTCACAACTGCAGCCACAAAACTCTCATGTTTCATGACGTAATACAAACACACACAAACCATGAAATACCTTTAATCTATTAATATAATCTACTAAAATAAAAATAATATATAAAAGAAACCTAACATGCAAATATTCTCAGCATAGGGTTGGCTTCTACCCAAGCACTCTTTAAGAGAGCACCCGATGCCCTAATGTAATCTGAAACTCCTTTTAGCACTTACCAAGTGGTCTTTGTGTTATTACAAGTTAGTTATTTAATCATAAGTAGTGAGTTAAGAGATTTTCTGATGGCAAATTAGTTTTAATACTAGTTTTTATTGCATAATAAACTACTTAGCAAAATTTGTTAATTTCCAATGACAATAATCTGTTACTATTTTTCTCTTACACCTTAAGGACAAAAGATTTTAATGTTTTCACTCCTGTTTCATCAATACTTCTTTCTTAGTGTTCAATGGTTAAACCAACTTCATGAGCTATTCTATTGTGGATGAACATACTGAGCTCTAATCTGACTACCTTCAACTGTCATGTTATCTATTAGTTTTTATTTCAAATGCAGATAAAGTTTTGGTTTAGTACACGACACAAGCAAAGAAGGCACATTTGACAGTTAAAATCCTCCCCACCCCCAGTTTGAGACAAGTTTTCATGTATATAGCCTAGGCTGGCCTCAACTTCACTTTGGTGCTCAGGATAACTCTGAACTCCTGATCTTCTTCCTCTACCTCCCAAATGCTGGATTGGAGGTGTGCACAACCTTGTCCAACTTTACCCATTTGGTCCAATGTTACAAAGCAGCTTTCCTAAGATTACTTGCCATCTAGATTTTCCTGTCAAGAACAATTATTCTGTCTTTTGGTAAATAGATGGATCATGACTATAGCCTCCCATAAATGTAAAAGCCATGCTTGTAAGAGATCACTGCAGTTAACAAATAGAAGTTAAGATGGTCATGGAAGTAGGTGGCAGTGCACACCTTTGATGCCAGCACCAGGAGATAGAAGCAAGTGGATCTGAGTTCCTAGCCTCCTGGCCAGCCCATTCTACTTAAAGAGTTCCAGGCCTGCAGGACTTTTGATATTATCTATACAGTTGTTTACCTAGTCTGTTCAAGCTTATTTCCTAGTGTTTTGCATAGTGTCAGGTTGTAGGTTGTAGGTTGTTCTGAAATCATTTCTAGAATAAGCTTCCATATCCTTGCTAGGATTAAGGCACACACATCACATCTATATTGCATAAAGTCAGTAACAATCACACAAAACAAGAGCTCAAGTTTACATATCCCATTTAAAACTGGTTAGTTGGTCACAAAGGCTCAAGCACAGGGTTGACACAAGAAGTCTCATTCTATTTATGTCATAGTGTTCAGCACAAACCAAAGCAACTCTGGTAGTACAACTGTCAGGATGTCTTACTACAGTCAATCTAACTGTCCCAGGTGGCACCACTCAGGCAGATTATTGATGTGGCAGGCAAAAAAAACCTTACACCTTACAGATTATGACTGCTACTCAGTGTGCATCATTTTGCTAGTGTTTTATCAAAGACTTAATTGAAAATTGTGATCAAACAGTTGGAGTCTCAATGTGTAAAACGACTCTCTCTGCATATTGAGAGTCAGTAACTATACTGAGGGGTTCTTTAAAATCCATAAGTACCATGAGAATGGCATACAATTCTGCATTTTGTACAGAATTGTAAGGGCTTTGAACCACTTTGCTAATTTTTCCTGATTTATATCCTGCCTTACCTGATTTGTTTGCATCAGTGTAAAATGTATGAACTCCAGAATTAGGTGTTTGTCTTACAATGCGTGGAAGGATCCAAATCGTTTTCTTTATGAATTTGATTCTCTCAGTTTTGGGATAGTTGTTGCTAATCGTTCCCAAAAAGTTACTGCAAGCTCTCTGCCAATATTCGTTATCTTTCCATAAGGAGGAAATTTCCTCATTAGTTAAAGGTACTATAATTTCTGCTGGGTCCCTTCCTATTAGCTGACGAAGTCTTAATTTACCTTTTATAATCAAGTCAGAGATCTTTTCTATATATGTTTTTAGTTTTTTATTCTGTTTATGTGGTAGGAATATCCATTCTAATATGATATCTTCTCTCTGCATCAAAATCCCTGAAAGATATTTTCTAGATGGTAATATAACCAGAATACAGTCTAGGTTTGGATCCACGCGGTCCACATGTGCTTCTAGTATCCTCTTTTCTACCCATTCTAATTCCTTCTCAGCTTCAGCTGATAGTATTCATGGACTATTCAAGTCCTTATCCCCTTTTAGGGCCATTTTCAGGTTTTTCAAATCATGCCCTTCTACTCCAATAATGGTTTGCAGTTGAGAAATCTC